TTTCTGTTTATCTGAGAGTTTTAATGAAAAAGGATTTTAGCACAAAAATATTCTGATGAAAACTGTCCCCATGCGCTCTATACTTGGTACACTCAATGGTTTGGGGTCTTTTTGCATGAATTACTGCATCTCCATAAAACTGGTAACTGGTGGAAGCCAAGACGTGCTCAAAGCGGGTCTCAGGCAGCTTGGATTTGGTGCTGGCAGATGCTGAGAGGTGGATTTCTGATATAAAACATACGTAGTAGAAAAGGCTGTAAATTAGATTAAATGGCATCCATAGTAGGATTTCTATGCTCCATTCTCCCTGTTTTTCCACTGCTGGCCAACTATTGATGCTTTGTTGTTAGATGTATGATAATAATAATTTTCACATATATTCTCATGATGAGTTTTAGTTTCAGTACTGAAATGAATGTAGTTTTCAAGGCCTTTCTGATTTATTGAGATGCGGCTGTGTTAATGAAAAGCCATGTGAGTCTCTGGAGCCAACTTCCAAGGCTGAGGGGAGCATTGCAAGCAGTTTTTAACTTGAACTTGGTTAGCCTGTTATTCAAAAATACTTCAGTTTGCAGTCAGGCGTCCAGAGAAGCATGTGGTCAAACGCATAAGCATATATTTCATGCTTTTTTAAACATTTTTATTAATGTTACGACTTTGTAAAACATGATTCTGTTGATGCTTTTTAAAATATTTTTCTCACTTTTGTAAAAAAAAAAATGTTTATTCTAAAATACTAATAAATAAATCAAAAGGTAAGCAGCTGGTGAGTTTTCTATGTAAGCCGGAGCTGTAAGGTGGCTGTTCGGAGAACCTTAAAAGGGTAAAAGGAGATGCTTTTCATTACACAAGCTGTCAGAAATGTCTCGCCTTTGTTTGTTTGCCACACCTGCCTTCACAGAATCCAGATACATGACAAGAACCAACATGTTGGTTTGACAGGAGGTGCTCAGGCAGCTTAAAGGAAAAGTCCGCTCATATTCAGAATCAAACTTCTGAAAGTATTTTAAATATGAAATTATTACATACTGTTCAATAAAAAAGTGTTAATTATTTAGTGTAATGTCATGTGAATGTGCTTTACTGGACGCATCCATGTTTGTCAAAGAGCACTACTGCCACCTACTGGTTTGTGACGTCACGGTACGGTATCGACTGTTGATCAAGTCCCAGTGCTGTATCTGGTGTTTGTCACAACGCGCTATTATCCAAGTCATCTTGGAAACATTCTTCTTCCAAATGTTGGCTACATATTACGTGTTTTTTCCTTTGGCCAGAAGTTCGATAACAAATCCTCACTCTTTAAGTTGGCAATCCAACGACCAACCTGTCTGTGGAGAATCAGGGATTAGAAAGCTGAAATGAGTTATTTTGTTTAGGTGTTTTTAAAACAGGGGCCCATGCAGACCCCTACCCAAACGATGCTGCCTCTGAAACCAGAGGCAGCATCCTCCAAGGACCAGGGGCCTGTTTCAGAAAGGAGGTTAAGTGAAAACTCTGAGTTTGTTAACCATGAAATGAGGGAAACTCTGGGTTTTCTGTTTCAGAAAGGGAGGTAAGTTAAACCTGAGAAAGCAGAGTAAGTCAAGCCCGTTTCTGAAAGAGAGGTA